CATGGCAAGCCCAAGAGGCTAGAGAAGAGTGATTTCGACATGAGACAAATAGAGACGGTAAACGACAACCGTGAGATGAAATCTCGCGGCCAAGAATAATCGGCACACATGGGGCACTTGAGGAGGGGATATTGGAACTTACAAGGAGAAGGAGGTCCCAAAATAAAAATGGGACGACATCCGGGACGATGTCGGGGATTAAATGGGTCCAAATAAAATTAACCGAAAAATGAGACATGTGTCGGTATACGGGACAAAAAAATGGAACTAGTACGGAGGAAAGTGGCGGGGACTTGAGATGTCCCGAGGGAACCATGAGCCAACATGAGGAATGGTCACACAAAGTAAGCGACACCGTCAATATCAAAATCTGACGATGGAAAATATTAGCACCACCGGTGCAAGCACTAGTGGGATCAAGTGGGAGAGTCGTGAGAGAAAAGAAAACAAAATAATGATGGTGGAAGGGTTGCCCAGCAGTCCGGGGTATCTCAGACTGGCTAGGCATGAGAAAATAGAGCCCCAAGGGGCTTATCACGAAAAAAGGTTGTCAAAAGAAAATCGAAGCAAAAGGGAGTCAAAATCGAGACTAACGGAGGCAAAATGGAACCCCCATGAGCATGGGGGTGTCATTATTGTAATCCGAGATATAACGACTAATTGCCGAGTCTGAATCTGGCCATGGATGAAGATCCATGGTCTAGAAAAAGACTCAACAACCACTTGACACTTGTCACATCAGAAATAAAAGAAAAGAAAAGAAAAAGGGAAGAAAATGGAGGGAGCGTGAGACAAAGGGGGAGAAAAAAGTGGAGGAGAATGTGTCGGCCTATTGGGACTGGCACAGTAGGAACTGGCAGGTCCCTACTGTGACCTCATCCCTCCACATGTAGTGGAGGGCAATCTAGATTGCAGAGATATGGCCCTTGGGGCAATCCGGATTGCAGAGATATCTCTGCAGAATTTGAATTAAAAAAGAGAAAATTGAGAAAAAATGCAAAGGAAAAATGACCGTTTTTTTTTTGGGCCATGGATCTGAGATTTAGATCCGTTGAGGAGGGAATATGGTTATTTTTAGGAGGTCAACTCAAACGGCTAACTCCGGAACGGCCGACCCCGGAATGAGTTGGCAGTCAAAAATGGAAAGAAACAAAAGAAAGAAAAGAACAAAATTGTGCATTTGGCCTAAACGGAGGGCTAGATGCACCAAAAATTGAAAAAGTGAGCTTAGAGGCTCAAATTTGAAGCAAGGATCACCAAGGGGTAGCTCAAAATATTGCTGGCCTTGGATCTCAACTAGATCCAAGGCTGAGATAGCACCGGGGCATGAGAAAAGTGAGGGCCCCTTGGGCATTTGGACCCAAGGGGGCAGCATTTTGAAAAGGAAAAGGAGGTCGAAGAAGGCCAAGAGGCAATCAGAGTTGGTACCAACCACTCGGGTTGCACGTAGTTGGCCAAAATGAGGCCCAGGTACCCCCGGAGGCGCCTAGTGGTGAGTTTTTGCCTTGGGGGTACCTCGGTTCACCTCAAGGCACATGGGGAGGTCCATGGGCTGGCCGGAGTGCTGGTTTCAGCCTATATAAGCTGAGGTTTCAGTCCGCCACACTCGCATTTGCATGAGGTGTGCCCATGCTGCCCAAGTGAGCTCATAAGAGCTCTTCTCTCACTTGGAGTGAAGAGAGAGGAACCCCTGTCAGTTTGGAGCTTGGAGGAGACTGTGGACTAGTGTGAGGAGCTCTAGAGGTTGGTGGTAGTGAGGCTGGCCAAGGAAGGAGATCCGCCATAGCCCTCAGGCTGTGAGGGAGAAGGGAAGGCTAGAGGGAGTCTCATTAGCCCTCCTAGAGAGGAGGACTCCATAACCATAGTGATAGGAGTTTGCCATCATCAGGGAGGAACTAAGGAGGAGGATGAGAAGGGTTTGAGGAAGAAGGGAACAATAGCCAAGTGAAGAAAAAAGCATCATCTAGAATGGCACTTCAATTCCAAGATACTAAGCAAGGTGAGTGAAAATAATAAAACTTTTTTTCTCCTCCTTTTTCTTTTTCTTCTTCTTCTTCTTCTTCTTTTTTTTCTCCCTCCTCTTTTTCTCCTTCTTCCTTTTCTTCTTCTTCTTCTACTTCTTTTACTTCTTCTTCCTCTTCTTTTTCATCTTCCTCCTGTCCTCTTCCTTCTCCTACTCCCCCAATGATCTCTCATCTACATTCTTTTTTTCTTCTTTTTTATTCTCTCTCTCTCCATAGGAACTTTCCAAAGCTTATAGTAGATGATAGGATGCTTTTTCACTAGTAATGGTCTCCCCATGGGCTCATCCTACACTCCCATGTGGATCGCCACTTCCCACCTTGTGATTTCATGCATTAAAGTCAGTTTCACCCACTCTTCTCTCACTTTCTCTCCATTTTTTCACTTAGGAGCAAATCACAACTCTTGTATGTGCTTGATCTAGTATTTTGATGATGTTTTCCTCTTGTTTAGTCCATTTCTTCACTCCCATGTGAATCGCCACTTCCCACCTTGTGATTTCATGCATTAGAGTGAGTTTCACTCACTCTTCTTTCACTTTCTTTCCATTTCTTCACTTAGGAGTAAATCGCAACTCTTGTTTGTGCTTGATTTAGTGTTTTGATGATGTTTTCCTCCTGTTTAGTCCATTTCTTCACTCCCATGTGAATCGTCACTTCCCACCTTGTGATTTCATGCATTAGAGCGAGTTTCACTCACTCTCCTCTCACCTTCTCTCCATTTTTCACCTAGGAGCAAATCGAACTTTAGTTTGTGCTTGTTCTACTGTTTTGATGATGTTTTCACTCTTGTTTAGTCCATTCCCTCACCCCCATGCAAATCGCCACTTTCCATCTTGGGATTTCTCTCCACTTTCTCACAAATCGCAATTTTGTTTTGTGCTTGTTCTAGTGTTTTGATGGTCTTTCCAATCTTGTGTAGTCCATTCCTCCACTCCCATGTGAATCGCCACTTATCATTTTGAGACTTCATGCATGAGGATGAGTTTCACTCACTCTCCCATCTCTTCATTTCGTAATGAATCGCAACTTTGATTTTCAGTTATAATAGTGCTTTTATGATTCATTTCACTTACTTTGCTCAGTTCACTCATGTGATGATGTTCCGTTTCATTCTTGGTTGCTTACATGAGCTCCATGCATGTGTTTGAGCAAGTCTCACTCACATGTGTGGCTCATCTCCCACATGATGATGTTCCGTTTCATTCTTGGTTGCTTACATAAGCTTCAGGCATGTGTTTGAGCAAGTCTCACTCACATGTGTGACTCCTCTCTCACATGATGATGTTCCGTTTCATTCTCGGTTGCTTACATGAGCTCCATGCATATGTTTGAGCAAGTCTCACTCACATGCGTGACTCATCTTTCACATGATGATATTCCGTTTCATTCTTGGTTGCTTACATGGGCACCATGCGTGTGTTTGAGCAAGTCTCACTCACATGTGTGGCCCATCCCTCACTTGGTGATTGTCCGATTCATACTTGGTTGTTCCACTACTCATATGCATGTGCTCTCACTAATCACACTCTCACTTTGTCAATTCCATGTACTTGGTGATTGTTCGATTCATACTTGGTTGTTCCACTACTCGCATGCATGTGTTCTCACAAGTAACACTCTCATTTTGTCAATTTCATGCACTTGGTGATTGTCCGATTTATGCTTGGTTGTTCCACTACTCATGTGCATGTGTTCTCATTAGTTACACTCTCACCTTGTCAATTTCGTGCACTTGATGATTGTCCGATTCATACTTGTGTTATGATCTTGGTTGTCTGACACTTTAATTGCCACTCTCACTCAGAAGAACTCACACACGCCCATACATGCATGAGACAAAGGGGAGAAGGAGACAGGGTCCAACTGCACACAAATCAAAGATAAACAGCGCAATAGCAATTATGCACAGAAGGGGCGAATACAGTCAGTGTTTCTCTCTCCCTGACACACTCCCAACAACCGATCACAATTGACACTGCGAAGATCACAATTGGAAAGTATCCCAGATGAAGAGCCAACTCAACACAATTAACCTCAATTATCGTTACAGAGTTCCACCCAGTATCTCGCCACTCCAGAACCACACACTCCACTCACTACTACACTCTCAGAGTCTAGCACTGCACAACAATAGCCTCCCAGAGGCCAGCGCCATCCACCCAGGTGCAGATCATGAACAACGAAGTAGTCTCCAGTGCCGATGAGTCACTCTGACGATGAAGAAGGCGGCTATGGCTGCCCAGTTGCTACCGCAGCAATAGTACCCACATATACTCAGTGAAAACCTCCGATATAGCCCTGTCAACGCAGATATCCCCTGGGGGTAGATGCGCTGAGTACAGCCCCAGCTATGGCTGTCTCAGCAGGCTGGCTATGGCTGCTCCACTGCGCTGATTCTCAGGTGCCGCTATAGGCATTCAGCGCTACCCAACTTCGTTGGCCACGAACGCTGTGTGCGAAAAATGAAAAGCCAAAAATCCTCCTACCGGTTTCCTTCCTAGCCTTGAAGATTTCTACACTAGCCTAGACCGAAACTGGACTGACTGGACCTACCGGTACCGTTGCTGTTTTGCGGCCTCTCGGCCTCTACCGGACCCGACTATAGGCTATAGGACCGTATACCAGTCCAGGCCACTTAGGGCCTGTCTGTCCTAGGGATAGCCTGGGCCTGCTATAGGCAGTTAGGGTAGTCGTAGGGATTCGGTTAGTTTAGGGCCTGTAGTCCCTCAAAATTACAGGTCTGTCCCTTGCGAATTTCCCAAAAGGCATGTCACTCGGTTAGCCCTCAGCCAAACAAAATTGCGAATCTAACCCTATGGTTAGTGTACAGCCTCGCAGACAAACTCGGCAGCAGAAATCAGCAAGTCATTGCAGGCTTACCCTCCCCGGGAGCAAGGACCTCCGAGCTAGGGGTGCAGACGAGGTGAGCGGTGAAGGTCTCCCTTCTGAGTCGCCTCATACCGCAGAACTACATACTTTGTTGTCTTGATCAGGTCTCTTCTGTAGAACCACCGGTTCTCAGAAGGGGGCTGAAACGCAAACCTGGCAAGATACTGCCGGTCGGGGCCAATGCCCCACTCATCCTCAATGGCTACCACATCATATCCCTTACCAGGGATTGGTGGGCCCCATTGAGGAGGCCGGTCAGGGAATGCATCAGCTGGCATGAAAGGCAGCAGCTTGGATGCATGGAAGACCGGATAGGTTCGTAGATGCAGCAGGACGTCGATGACGTACGACGGACCGAAGGGATCAGCGCCCACTGTATCTAGAACCTGCCACGGACCCAGGTAGCGCGGCAGCAGCTTGGGGGAAATATCCTCCTCCCTCGACAACTCAAAACTGGCCACCCAGACATAGTCATCAGTAAGGATGGGGGAAGGCCGCCTGTGGCGGTTAGCTTGTTCAATCATGGCCTTTTGGGCCTTGAACAAGTTCGCCCGGGCTCTCTCCACATCCAGACGATAGCGTCTGGCGAGCTCCGCACTGCCTGGGGTAAGGTCAGGCTTAGCCTTATCGATGATGTCATCGAGAGGCTGTTGCGGTTCACGTCCCCAATGTAACCGGTAGGGACTGAACCCTGTCGAGGAGTGGACAGACATGTTATACATGAGATGTGCCCTCGCCAAGTGGAGATCCCAATCCTGCTGATCAGGAGAGATCACAGGGCGTAGCAACTGGAACAGGACCTGTTTCATCACCTTCGGCCAATCCATTGGCTTCAGGATGACGACCAAAAGTCATGTCCAGGCGTGAGTGCAGATAGTCCTTGCAATAGGACTGCCACTCATCGCTGCAGAATCTGGGGTCTCGATCACTCACAATAGAAGTGGGCGGTCCATGGTGCGTGACCCACCTCTCAGAAAAGGCTGCTCTCACAGCCGGTACCCTGGCTACCTCTAGCAAGGGGATGAACTCTGCGTATTTGGAAAACTTGTCCACGCAGACCATTCTCTAACGCATGCCACGAGGGGTAGTCTTGCCTAAGTCTGTAAAGTCAATGGATACAGACTGGGCAGGACCATCAGGTATGGGCAGAGGTTTGAGCAATCCCAAAGGAGGTTTCCGCTGAACCTTGTTCCTTTGGCAGAGCTCACAGGTATCCACATAGCGCAGCATATCACTCCGCATCTCCTTCCAGAAGAAGCGCTGCGACAGGGCTGCATACGACCTTAGGAACCCAAAGTGTCCACGCGCGTCGTGACACTCTCACATCAGCAGTGTCCGCATCTGCTGATTCTCAGGGATGCACAAGCGCTCCTCTCCTCTGCTGTAAGTGTACAGCAGATCTTAACTCAGGGCATAGCCAAGTTCAGAATTAGGATCTGCTTGCAGATTCCTGACGATGGGTCCATAAGTCGGATCCTGGGGCAGCAAACGAGCGATGGTCTGACGGACCTCCTCTCCAAAGGAGTGAGTAGAGGAGATCAACGCAAAAGAGTCAGGCCTATGAGAGAGGGCGTCTGCTACCTTGTTGTAGTAGCCCTTCTTATGCTTCAGTTCAAAGTCAAACAGATCAATGAACTGAATGTAGCGTGCCAGTTTATCATTCAACTCTCCCTGGGACTTCAACCACTGCAGGGTGGAATGATTAGAAAAGATCTTGAAGTGCCTGCCCAAGAGAAAGTGTTTCCAATGTTTCAGGGCACTGACAAGAGCATAGAGCTCTTTCTCGTAGGTAGAGTCCTAAAGCTTCTGAGTTTTGATCTTCTTACTCATAAACTCTACAGGTCTCAGACCATTACCATCATCCTGCTGAAGGACTGCCCCAGTGCCATACTGACTGGCGTCGGTGGTGAGAACAAATGGCAGAGGGGTCAGGCAACTTCAGAACAGGCGCACGAGTCAAGGCCTTTTTGAGTCGTGCAAAGGCCATTTGACAGTGGAGGGACCAAAGAAAGGGAGTGTCTTTCTTGGTGAGGTTAGTCAGAGGTGCAGCCACTGCAGAAAAGTTCCTAACGAACTTTCTGTAGTAGGAGGCCAGACCCAAGAATGACCGGACATCTCTCACTGTCTGGGGCTGTAGCCAATCCTGAATAGCAGCAACTTTGGCTGCTTCAGGGGCCAGCCCATCTCCAGAAATCACATGACCCAGATAGATAACAGAGGGAACTCCAAAAGAGGACTTCTCCCTGTTGATCTTATACTGGCTGTCACGTAATGCCTGCAGAATTAGAGCCAAGTGCTCGGCATGTTCCCTGGCAGTCCTGCTGAATACCAGGATATCATCCAGGTAAACAACCATGAACTCATCCAGGTACAGCTTAAAGATGCGGTGCATCTCAGTCTGGAATGTGCCAGGTGCATTGCAAAGTCCAAATGGCATCACCAGGTACTCATAAGTACCATACCTGGTTTTGAAGGCCGTCTTGTGGATGTCCTCCTCTGCCATCTCAATCTGGTGGTAGCCAGATTTGAGGTCGACTTTGCTGAAAATGGTGCAGCCCTGGACCATATCCAGTAGGTCATCGATCCTAGGAAGTGGCTCTGTRCTCTTCCTAGTGATCTTRTTGAGACCCCTGTAGTYKATGCACATTCYGAACTCRCCACTCCCYTTTGGAACAAAGAGGACTSGRGCACCGAATTCAGAAGTGTTGGGCCTGATCCAGCCCTTGCTGGTCAGGGTCTCAAGCTGTCGCCTGAGCTCCTCAAGCTCAGCAGGTGACATCCTATAGATGCGGCCCTTGGGAGGGACCACCCCAGGCAACAACTCAATATGATGCTTGGTTGGCCGGTTGGGTAACCCAAAGGGCTCTTGCATCAGATCAGCATACTGGTCCACAACCTGCTGTATCTCAGGAGGACAGGGAGTAGAGGGAACGTCTGTCTGCTTGACCAGAGCGATGAACATATGCTCATGATCATATTGGCGAGAGAGAGCATAAAACTCTCTCGCTCTCAAGCAGAAGCAGGAAGTCTGAGGGTGATGATCAACTGCGATCATGCAAGGCTGATACACCCCTTTGCTGTTTGGCAGTTCAACCTTGGGGATCTGCCAGTCGATCCTTGGGTTGACTGCTCTCAGCCACTGCATAGAGAACACAAGGTCAAAGGGTAGGTCAGGGAAGATGTAGAAGTTCAGACCGTGTCTGACTTCTCCCGCGCTGTCGAAGGTAACAGGGATGCCCCTGACCTTCTCCCTGATGGTCAGAACAGTGGAGTCCCCTATGCGGACCTGCAGCGGTTGCTACAGCTGCACCACTTTCATGCCCAGATGCAGTTTTTGGACTGCACTGGGAGACATGAAGTTGCAAGTGGCTCCATAGTCTAATAGTCCTTTGATCCTGTGATGGTTGATCAGGGGCCGAAGCAGGATGAGATCAGACTTGTTCTGCTTTTGTTCTTTCAGGTGAAAGAAGAAGGCAGCCAAAGCCTGACACTCAGACTGGTCCGGTTCCTGATCCGGGTTAGGATCCTCATAGATAAAGGATGCTGCCCGTGCAGCTCCCACACTGGATGGGAAGGAAAGAGTCTCAACTGAAGCTGCTGCAGCTGCAGATGCAGTTGTAGCACTGGAGGGAATTGCTGTCTCCAGGTTCAGCTTCAGTTTTTTGACTGAGCTGGGCTTGGCATGTAGGGATAGTCCTTCAAGAAATGTTGTCCCTCACACCTCAAGCAGACACCTCTCTCCTTCCTCTTCCTCCACACTCCCTCCTGGATCTTCAGATCATGCCATGGGAGAGTGTTGGGGTTCAGAGGGTCTGCTGGGAAGTGGACGTCACGTGGCAGATTAGGGCGCCGGGCAGGGGTTGAAGAGCGACGTCCCTGGCTCTTCCCCTTGCTGCTGGAGGCTGGGCTGGAGGCGGATCCGACCTTTTGGAAGGCCCCCAGCGCAGCCTGCAGCTGCTGGGCAACTGCTGCAACATCTGGAACAGCAGCGGAAACAGTCCCAGCTGGCGGTGTACCAGGCTGGGAACCTGTGTCAGAGGCTGACCCAGACCCCGCATATGCAAAGGCCGCCTTTCCCTTTCTACCACCACGAGGGAAGGCGCCTCTCCTCCTGTCACTGGAGGGGGCCTGGACATGAAGCTTAGCTTCCATGTCCAGTAATGCACGTCCAAATGATCTCCTGTCTTTGTGACCGGCGCTGTACAACGCAACACAACTTTTCAGGCACAACCCTGCAAAAGTTAGTCAACAGATCATCTGCAGACATCACCAAACCAGGGGTGGAAGTCAGCTGTTCATATTCAGCAAACAGGGCCTGCAGACTGCCGCTGTAACGCTGCTGGCCCAGGCGTACTATCTTATCAACAGCTTTGCGGACTCTTTCTTTGTCTGCAAACAGATCTTCCAGGGCCTGCAAAAGTTTGTCAGCCCCCAGTGTTAGGGCCCAGTCCTCCAAAGTCTGATTCTAGGCACTTGCTGTAGAGGTAGCCCATTTATGGGCAGGCCCCTCCAGCAACCCACAACAGTGGCCACCTTTTGCTGCTCTGGGCACTGGAACCCCTTCAGATAGGCCCGGGTTCCAGCAGTCCAGTCCCCCACATCAATCTTGGGGTCATCCCCCTTGAATTTGTTGGGGGCAGGAATCTTGGGACCTCTGTTGTCCCCAGCAACAACAACAACAAAGGTGGGAGGAGGTGTGGCTTTCGCCTGGGAGGAGAGTGGGAGAAGCCTTGCGCGAAGAGTGAGGAGATCCAGAGGATGAAGGAGGTGGAGAAGAGGGCTGAGAAGGCTGTTTAGGTTTTAGAGTGGGGACCACAGGGACCAGGGGACTGACGACATTGGCTGTTGTTAACTGAGCAGTCAGATTCTGGATAGCATCCAGGATCTTTGACTGCTGAGTTCCCAGATCCGCCACTCTGGTCTCCAGCCTCTGGATCCTCTCATCCCAGTTTGTAAAGTGGCCGGCGGTCAGCTTGTCCTGCAGGAGGACCAGCTCAGCCAGGTCCCTTGTACACTGGGCCACTCTAGTATCTGCAACAGTTTTCTGGGCCTGCTGCAGCAGATGTTCTTTTCTGGAAGCATCTGTTGCAGCTTCTAGTTCAGCAGCCTCCTGTCTCTCGGCTTCTGCGAGCAGAGTCTGTTGCTCTCGCAGCTTTTCCTGGATCTCTCTCTTGCGCCGCTGCACAGGGGTCGGAGGAGGGGGAGGTGGTGTTATGGCTGAGGGTTCCCCTTCAGCCTTRATCACGACCTCAACCTTCCCTGCACCTGTGTCAGCTGCGTCAGACATTTTCCCTCACAGACAACAATTAAAACAAAAATGAAACAGCAAGGGGTGCAACGATTTACTAATCACACAGACACTCAAATTTCGCTGCACTGTCAGTTCACAGGGCAATGTGGGTTAGTGGGCACAAGYAGTTAGGGTTGGAACAGGACCACTGGGATTAGTAATCAGGTTGACAGGGTCACTAACGATTTCCTATACCTGACACTGAACTTTTACTGAAGTTGCAACATGCAGTTTCACAAACTTCCAGGGGTCACTAGTATTCTAGAGCCCATCAGAAAGCAGAGTAGATTAGTAGTATTGATAAGGGTAGGCAAGAATTGACTGAAACACAGCAACAGGTAGTAGCGATTTAGTAGCCTACTCCCTGACAGCCCTAAACTCAAATTTTGCCAATGTTGACATCAACAGAAATTACCCCAGATATAGCGAATTTCAGGAATGCACTGTAATGACCCAAATACAGTGTTTCTGGACTAGCGCTCTAGCAGGGTTGCTAAAAATAGAATTGCGATTCACCCCAGACTGACAGACTTGAATTCTGACGGTCTGATTTTGAGTT